GAGGCGGCCAGCCCGCGTAACTTAAACCTGGGGATTTAGTTGTGTGTAACCGCGCAGGCAGACGGCAGATTTTCCTCGGCGAGGGACCTGGCTGTTGTCAAAGTTTCCTGCTTGCGGTTGTGTGTTTTTCGTCATTAACGTCATCGTTTTTGCGAAGGCTGAGGATTTTGGCCCGGGTCTTTTCTGGGCAGTGCGTAGTTTCTCATCTTTGCAAACTCAAGTGAGACCGTTCTCAGATTTGAAGTATTTACTCCCGATTTTTGTTCTGTTTTTCCTGCAAGCGTGTATTTCATCTGCAGAGGTGTAACTGTCCCGAGGCAGCATCGTGTGTCCCCCTCGGTGTGTCGGTTTATCCGTAAATGTGTGTGACGGCTTTGTGTCTCGGTGGCAGGTGCTGGGTACGCGGGAGCTTGACACCAGGTGTTACCGCATCTGCTTCAGCACTCACTGGCAGAGTAATTCCTTCCTTTAGAAGTTTCCAGCTGGAGGCAGACTTCAGAGCTGAATTTAAAAATTCTTAAACAAGGAGTAGAAACTTGATGGAAATTTCACCCAGGTGAAAAATGAAGCAAAAAGACTGTATTTAAAAATCAGTGCCATGGTCCAGTCTCCGTATTCTCTCTCTCTTTTCTGTTAGGAGAAACCTGGAGTTTTACATCATTCTGGTGAAGGTGGAAATCAAATGTCTGTTTTCTGTCACCAAAACTTACATCTTTGTATCCTTATTAATGCACTTTCTTATCTTAATTTTCATCTTTCTTTCTTCTCCTAATCCTGTTCTACCCTGGAGAAGTTATAATGTCCATTTGTCATATAACTTATTTATTTGCCAGTACAGTTGTACCAGGCTATGTTAATGTGCGTGACCTCAGATGAGACAGAATGAGAAGGCATGTACTGGTATGTGTCCCACTTGACATAAGTGATAAGTCACATAGCATGATCAGCATCCTGTCATACACTGATACATCCCAAGACACTGGTCATAGGCGATGGACCTACGTTCACATTTGTTTTCCTGCTGCTAACTTTGTTGATGTAGTGATTCCCAGTGAAGATAAGCCATAGAAAAATAAATCCTTTTCTTAATTAACAAGTAAATGCTTGTTTAGAAACAAACTTAGGCAAAGCCTGAAGAGATGCACTAGAAATTAAGAGATCTGAGAGAAAGAGAAATAAATGAGATCAGAAGAGGATTACTGTAGGGTTTAGCTCATGCGCTCTTTTGAAAAACTTAAGTGATAAGTTTCTCTAAGTGAATCTGGACTTCAGTTCGTCACTAACCTGAGAGTTATCTTCGTTGTTCAAGCAGGAACACCATAGATGTGTTTTAGTTGCAAAACAACACTTTGTGATCTAGTACTGTGTAGAATTCTGCAGGTAAGGAGAAAGCTACTAAAATTTATCAGAAAAGTTCTGAAAGAGCTTTGATTTCAGGTATGAATTGGCTGCATGCATCTTCACCTTATACCTACCTATACTAGCAGAGTTAACGTGAGAAAAAACCTCTAGTTAAGTAGTAATTGGTCATCTTTTGCCATTATCCCTCTCTTCATGCTCAAGTTGTGGTGCACCTGTTGGGTGCTGGGTGTGTGTATGTAATTCACTTCAATGTTACGGGATACTCACAGGATCCAAAGCTAGTTTATGAATGAATTCTAAAAATGAATTAAAATTTTCTTTCTGTATTCGACTTCTGAATAAGCATTAAATCTGTAGAAGAGCCCAACAAAACTGTTTGAAGAAATGACAGTTATCTAAGGCATCAGCTGAGGCTGCCATGGGCACTCAGGGACCAGTTCACTCTGGCATTCCCAGTTTTTCGTCAGATACTGGCATGTTTTGAAGCAGACCTAATGCACTTCAAAGTGGCCGGCAAAAACTGTGTAATTGCGTCTCACTCTCAATACATGTTATTTGTAAGCAGCACTAGCTCAGGCGACTGTTCTCAGAACGCATCATCTGAGATTTAGTGCAATTCTGCTGTTCAGATGCTTTGTCTTCAGGGTTGTTATAAACACCCTACACTGCAGAATTCCTTGCTGTTGCTTGGGAAGGCACATACTGAAGATTATTCAGAGATTATTTTATGAATAGGAAAAAAATATGGCTAACTAGAAGTTACCCTTTAGAAAACATGTATTTTCTACATTTATTATTAATATAGAATACAACACTAGCATAGTTTAAATTTTTAGATACTAGCACAGAGTAATTTAATTTTGAGGATTTACTGAATAACCTGGAAATAATAATAAGGAAAGTGTTAGGAGTTTCCTGTTACTTGACCAAAATCACTCTATGGATGACTTTAAGAAAAAAATAGTGAATGCTGAAAAAAAATTACACTCGATAAGGAAACCGGTATTTTTGTAAGTTCCTAGGACCGTAACCTCGCTTTTAACCTACTGACAGCTCTACACCTCTGATAAGACCTAGTAAAATCCTTTTCCCTAATCTGATCAGTAAGATAGTTGCATTCTGCCCACAAAGCAAGCTAATTTTTATGATGTTAGTGATCATTTGTCATCTTGTTTTCTGGATGTGTTCATTTGCTATGCTATTCTCAATGTACATTTTGAATTACCACTAAATAATTTGAAATGTTCTGATTTTGTAGCCCGACTGGATCCCATGTGGAATGGTGTAAACAGCTGATAGCTGCAACCATTTCTAGTCAGATTTCAGGGTCTGTCCCATCAGAAGGTGTGTCCAGAGACTACAGGGTAAGTGACTTGAGGAATGCATTGATTTGTTTAAGATAAAAGAGTGAATGATCAGGAAAGTCCTTGCTACCTTGATTATCAGGTGGTAAGTACTTAAGTGATAGCTGAATGTTTCAGAACTCATTACGCGTAGGAGTCTTTTGAATCTGCTTTGTGTTTTCCTCCGTATTTAGAATAGTGACATTGAAGTCTCTTGAGAGAGGTGAAAGGAAAATTAAAAGTCAATGTTTTGAATAAAATGCCAAAAGTGAGTTGTCTTTTCTTCTGATGACTACATAAAAAAATTTTGGTAAAGTAGATTAATAGTTACAGGTTGAAATTGTTTCTAGTGTGTGTCATTCAGAGTACAGAATTGAGCTCTCCAGATTTCACAAAAAATAAATGCACATGTCTTTGTTACTGTGCAAAGAACATAAATGACTATCATTTTTCAGGGGGATTCACCAGACATAGAGAATTTAGCATCAAAGAAACAACAAAAAAAAATCACCTTTTTCATTCCCTCTCAGCAACATTTTTGTAACTAAGTTAATGATTGCACAGCATGGTTTACCTGATAGGTTCCATTATGCTTTTTTACTCCTATTCTCTCATGCTCATTCGCTGTTTCCTATATGCAGCCAGCCAACTGAACTGTCAAGGGTGGAGCATATGCAGTTTTCCTTCTCTTACAAATTGACAAAAGTCACCTGTGTTTCAAGTACCTTTAAAAAAGACTAGGCTGCTGCTATCTAGATGCTTTTGTCTTCCTAGTTTTGCAACAGTTTCATGGTCTTAATGCAAAATAGCCAAATGAAGATTTTATCTTTTTTGTTTTTAACTAGATTTTAATTTATTTTCTAATATATGCTCTGATTAAAAACTTCGTTGTCCAGAAACAGCGTATTTTAGATTCTGTGACAGCAGGTCAGATTCAGCCCAAGCCTGAAGATGAATCCACAAAATGTTTTTGACCATAGCCTACTAAAAAATTCACTTCACAGAGTTTCAGAGTATCAGCACAGTTAGCAGCTTATACTCATAAAAAAGTGTAGCTCTTCCATACTATGGCAGCTGAATTGCAAATGCTTACTTCAGGTCAAGGATAACATCTTTGATGAAACATCGTGGGAAATCTTGCATTACAGCTGTCGATGTTGTATTTGCCCTGTAGATCAAGGACTTCATTTTAGTAAAATCCAAGTGTGTAAGCTTGGTGTTCAGTTTATCTCTGGGTTAGAACACATTCCCCTGGATTAAAGAGCACTTTTTAATTCTAAAGAACCTCCTTCTCTATATCAAACTTGTCCTAGATATTAAGTCTTTTAAGGCTTAATTAAAATTCAACTTCATTCTCTGTTTCTTAGAAATGAAAGAAGAAAATTTAAACCTGGTGGTATTCAGAATTTTTGTGTATAAAATGTATTTGGCATCATTGCATTGCTGTGATTTGAAATCCCATATTTGTGTATAACATCAGGGAATTTTTTATCCTGGAATATCTTTAGTTACGTTCAGGACCAGTACCTTGTGAAGTGGTGTCTATGCTTTAGGAGAGGATTTCCTTTGCACTTAGCTTCTACAGAAGGTCAGTGGTACAATTAGTTGCTTAGTCAGTACCACTAACAGGCTGGGTTTATGCTTTATTACTATGGAATTCGCATGTAAAAAGATAATGCCCATTTATAACTAATTTTTACTTTGAAACATCTTTCCCTTTTGATGCGTGCCAGTCAATTTTCTGGGTCTTCGTTACCTTTGGTTACCTCGAATTGCTGCATTTAGAGGCTATCTTACAACAACTCAGAAACTTCAGGTAGGGCCAGATGTGTGTGTTTGCTTCTGGAACTGGTCAGGCAGTTCTGTTGCTTTCTGCTGGATTTACCAGGAACTCACTGCTTTATTCTTCCTTTCATCCTTTTTTTAATATTTCAATCAATATGTTTGCAAAACCAGGTAAATATATCGATTCTTGTGTCTAATGGTGTTACTCATGTTACTCTGTGTAACTTACTTTACCAGAATATAATTTAGGGGAGAGGGGAATGAAACGAAAGCGAAAGAGCTGCAAATAAAATCGTCAAAACTGGAGAGCACTAAGCGAGCTCATGCTTGCTAAATCCTACAGCAACATGACCTCACTCTGAGACTCTGGGTTTGAACTCTGCTGTGTATGTCTTCTCTGACATACTCTCTGCCCGGAGAGTATTCTGGAGTAAGGGGTTCATATAAATGAAAATTGCTTAGGTTATAGTAGCTGAGTATGGACACCTTCAGAAATAAGTTGAGAAGAGTTGTCGCTATCTTTGTTTTGCCATTTGGATCTAAAAGATACGGTGTTTATACTTCATGGCTGTTATTGCAGGCTTATTGTCTTCCACCTAGAAGGATTACCAGGCTCTTTCTTCTCTTTTCACAATAGCACATTGTAACTGGATAAAAGGGTGATTAGGAATGAATGTTTCAAAAGAGCTTGGCATTTGTTACCTCGCTAAAGTGAAGAGACTAGATTGTTTTTAGACCAAAACGATTTTGCAAATGAGAGCTACTAGATCTGCATAGTTTTGTTTTGTTCTTTAAAAATCTGACTATAAAAACGTTTGCAAGTAGAGTTCTTCTGAAAATCTGATGAAGTAAGATGTAATATCTTTAAGAAATCAAATCTGTGTGTTTTGTTGGATAACATTTTATATTTTAACTAACAGGTGTACAGGAGGCCTGTTATGCGGGTAAGATTGCCTTTGGCTAGCAGTAAAACGGCCTCCTACCTGTTTGTCTTTTGTGCTGTGTGAGATCTTGGTGTGTCAAGCGTTCTTCTTTACTTCATTAATGGTTTTATGAACCAGTCAGACCATTTTGCTATGCGGTGCAACAGCTTCTTTGCCATAGAAATGCTTTATATACATCACAATGTTTTCGTGAGCAATAAAAGTCAATGTGTAAGAGAGCAGTATTTTTAAATTATGTTATAAATGTGCAATACTAACTTCAGTTTTATTACATTAATTTTGACAAAATGGATGCTTGCAACTGAGGCTTACATGCTTCGGACTAGAGAGTACTGTATTAGCAGCTCTAACGTGTTATCTATGCTAAAGAATGTTAGTGGCAAAAGCATTACATCTTTGTCTGTCCTATTTAAATAAGATACCGATTCATGCTTGCCTTTGTACATGTTTTACCTTAATTGTTACCACCCTGTAGTAGGGGTGAAAGTTAGGTTTGAACTTAGACACTAGTGCAACGACCTGCATCTTTTTAATGATAATTTTGAGACTAGGTCTTGCCCATTGTTCATTGGAGATACCAAAAGGGCATGCCTTGTTTTCGTGTTCCTCTCTCTCAGTAACATTTATGGAGTGAGAAATGATCTGGATAGTGTTCTGACATTGTTCATGAAATGTGTCTAACACTTTTATTCAAACAAAGCCCTCTTGTTCAGTCTCAAACCAAGAGATGCAGTCTGAATGATTTCTTTTTCTCATCTGTTGTTTACATATTTGAAAATGATGTGTTTAGTCCAATCATACAAATCCACAAGTTGATCTTATTTTTCTTTTTTAAAATAGATAGCTCTTGAAATAATTGGTCTGGGTTGAGTAACAAAAATTGATTGTTTTCATTCTGTTTTTCATAGTTCTTTGTAAAGGCTTTGATCTGTGAATGATCTGCTGTGCTTGTCTCTCATTTATTTAAAATCTTTCGGAGTATTTGCTGGTTGTCCTTCTGGTTTTCTTCCAGAGATCACAATATCTACTTTGCTTTAATTTCAGAAACAACATTTTTATGGTCTGAAATTTAAGTAATTTCTATTTAACAGAATTCCACTAATACACAAATGTTACGAGTCCTTTGTGATTTGAAAGGATCTTTTAATTAATTATAACTTTTTAAACTCTTGTGGGGTTCAAATTACCTGAAGATATCCAAAGTCATTCTTCTAAGTTTTTCTTTTTTGAGGGTTCTGTAGAAATACTGTAAAAAGAATAATTGACTTTGGCAAACATTTGTAGATTTAAACTGAGCCTGGTTTTACAGTCTATCAAGTGAGGAGTTCTTTGCATATGAACTGGGAATAATAGACTGTCATGAACACAACTTCTCTCCATTTAATAAAGAAAGAAGATGGAACAACAATTTTGGCTGAATGTATTAAAACAATTACTTCATATGACCCTATGACATCTGTGCTTCTTTCTGGAGCGCATAGGGACTTTATGTTTATTAAACAGATTTAATTAATATTCAGGATTTGCTGCCAATATGTTGCAAAAATAAATTAACATGAAAGTGTGGGTTGTTTGCATATTTTGCTACGAGGAGTAATTTTAGGTTCTGTAAAGTTACTGAGTATGTTTCCAGCAACAACACAGAAATTGCTGGAAAAATACATGAAGCCATAAAACTGAAAGTTCAATTAAAACATGTTTTACACAGTAAAGGGTTTTTTAAATTGTCTAGATACTTCTATTTGATGTTGACCTATTTTTGCCTTGAAAGATTGCATGAGTTTCCCCCTAATGCTCCCGTTGCAAGCTGTACTCAATTTCTTCTATTGATAAGCATGTGGCGTACTTTGGATTAATTTTCTTCACTATAAGGTTGTTTGTCTTAAAAAGACAGTACATGCTTTTATGTTCTTATCTACCAGCGCTGACTCTTTTGTGGAAAAGGGAGTAAACTTTTCATTTTGTGTTGTGCCAAATAACATTAAAAGGATGGTGTTAATAGCTTGGATTCCTTTCTGTGGAAAGTAGTTTGTGCCAGGAGTGGAAGATTTTGAATAGCTAAGCTGGATTGAAAGTATATGCTGTCTTTTTAAGGAAAGAAAAAAAAAAAGGGAAACAAAAAAGAAAAGATTCTGTCCTTTCACCTGTTGTCTGCATGTTTTTTCCTGTTACTTCTCTCTTGCCCTACTGCTGCCTCATGCAATGCAGGAGATTCAGGATGGACACAATGGCTATCATTCTGAAGCAGAACCTGATCAGGTGGCAAGTTTTACTCATCTTTCATTTATTAACTGTATAGCAAGGTACTAGATGTTAGTACTGGTACAGTACATACAAATCTTACATTTCTCATGCAAGAGAATCCATAGAAAGCATTTAGTATGTTAACTGATTATGTGATAGGTAGGGTTTTTGTGTAATGCCAGATAGTTTAAAAATGTAATATTGCACATAAGCCCCTATCTGACAAAGCACATCTGTCCTTCTAAGTTTGTAAGTATTGTCAAATTCTCTACACATCATCTTTTGTGATTGGGTGCTGAATATAACATTCTGTTAGTTTCCAAGAAAATCTAAAGCCAGAGATCAATTTAAATATCTTTAGAAATTATTTGTTAATGAGGGCTTGGGGTAGTTAGTTTGGAGACAGACAGATCTGACCAGTTATCGGTACGTGGATCAGAGCTGTAATACAAGGGAAGAGTTACTTCTTTGCTGTAACATTGCTCATTATATTTATTCTCACTTCAGAATGTAAAAAATTGAACCCTTAACATCTCATCATGTTGACCTGAGGGAGATCACTTTCTCACGTGGTCCTTAAAAGTCCCGCTAACCCTTTTATTCTTAATTAAAATCGTTAGTACATTGTAAATCTTCGCCGCCAGTGAAGGACCCAAAGGATCAATCTTGTATCATTCAGGAATGAAGCCATTTACCTAAATGAAAATTTATGGAACTAGCCCTTATTTTAAAATTGCTAACTGTTCTTTAATCTGTCCTTCTGGATCCAAAATTCCTATAATGGACCTCTTCCATAACCTGTGGCACTCTCAGTAGGGTATTGATTGAAATAGAGCATCATGGGGTGTTTCTGACTTCTTGCTATGAAACCCACAAAGTTAAAATGTTAAATAAATAAAGCTTCTGTCATATAATTCTCTCAGATTAAAATACTCAAATATTAAATTAACATTAAGAATAGAAAAATAAATTAATATGAGCTTGAAAATGTTCTCAAGTATATAAAATACCCCAAATAATACCTGCATTTAGCAAAAGACTAACAAATTATTAATTACAAATTTGGGCTGATTTCACTGTTCATATTTTGTATGCTATATGTAGCTAGCATGAGAAACTAATTGTTGCATAAATGCTTTATTACTATATGTTACTAATATGTATGTCTGTGTAATATTTATAATACCGAATTTTGTGTTTGAGTTTGTGTTTTTTTTTTTTACTATGGTACTGTTTAATATAGTTGTGCCTTGTAAAAAAAGATATGCTTCTTGTGTTCCAGTAGTCTGGTAGTAAAAACACTTTGCATCAAAATGTATAGATGTAGTACAGATGGAAAGTGAGATTTACTCATGGTTTTGAATTTCTGCCAGGCACTGCGGGATGGAAACAAACTAGCACAGATGGAAGAAGCTCCACTTTTTCCTGGAGAATCTATCAAAGTTATTGGTAAGCATACTATTGAATACTACACTGAGTACTATTAAATCACTAGTTTATTTATTTTAAAACAGAATATTATTTCCTTTTGACTTTTGTTATTTTAATTTAATGCCAGTTTAGATTAGCTGATTTGATGTGGATTTCTTTTCTTTGTCTTTTAAATCCTAATGTAGGAAGGAAAAATCAGTTCCAGATGATGACATGCTCCATATAGATAAATAATTTTTTTTCAAGGATTAGTTTGTTCCATATATGCTTGGGGATGCCAAGGATACTTCATAGATTCAAAAGCTTCAAAATTGTGATAGCAAAGGAGATGAAGTTATGGAAAACTTAGTTTCCAGTTCTTAATGAGATTTATTTCACTTTGGCCTGTGACGGCAAGCTCTGCATTAGCAGTACAGTACGTGGCTAGAAAAGAATACTAGTTCTTTCAAATAAAAGTGAAAATGAAGATATGGGCATATGACTGAATTACTTGGAGGTCAGTTGCATACACATCAGTAATTGTCCATTTGGATGCTCTCTCTCTGAGATGAGAGTGTCTCCTGTACACCTCAGGGCAGGGACCAGAGCTGCGTGTCGTTAAGAATACCAGCAGGGTGCTTTACTACCTGCCTGCCCTTGCTGCAGCCCATGCTAGCTGAGCCCAGCCTCAGTTGCTCAGCAGTTGCTGAGCAGCAGTGGGACTGAGGAATTTGGTTGTTTTCATTGTTGAGATAAAGACAGCTCTTTCAGTCCTGACAGTATCTGAAGAGTAGGCTTTCCAGTAGTGGTCAAGCATAAGTGTCTTTCGGAACTGCAAAAATCTTACTATTTTAAAATGGAAACAGATTTTTCTGGAACAAATGTCTGTAATAGTAAAACAAAGCTTTAATTGGTCTGTTTTCCAGCTAAAGATGTTATGTATATCTGTCCATTTATGGGAGCAGTCAGTGGTACACTAACAGTGACGGACTTCAGGATGTATATCAAAAGTGTTGAAAGGGTAAGACTTTGCTATATATCTGCATATTGTTTCATGTAGGAATGTTGCTGAAGTAGATTTCAGAAAGTGACAAATTTGGTATAAGTGAAGTATGATGTTCCACAGCAGTCTATTAAACAGGAATTACACTTGACAGTAATGAAACACACGTGAATAATATTAGTTTGTATTCCTCCTAATGTAACAAAATTCATTTGTTTTATATACAAATTTCAGGATCCACCTTTTGTTGCCGATGTTCCCCTTGGGGTCATAAGTAGAGTTGAAAAAATTGGAGTACAGAGCCATGGAGACAACTCGTGTGGTATAGAAATAGTTTGCAAGGTATGACATGGTAGAGACTTATTCATATTAAAGTATTTTCATTTCATTTTTCTGTAAGAGGAATCGGCATGCACATGTGGTGCTTTTCTGTCTGATCAGTTCCCTGTATTTGAACCCTGCTTCATTTAGATAATATATTTCAATTCCTCTTATGAAACTTGCCATCTTAAACACTTCTGCCTTTTGTCTCAAGAGTAAATTAAAAGGAAAAGTGGCTATTTCTATATCTAGCAACTCTAATGGCGGTCCTAGTCATCTGATACGAACACTTTCAGAACTCTGTTCTAATGTCGGTTCATGACTTAGTGCTACATATAAGCCTGCCTTCAATCAAATTTCTTATAACTGCTTTTTTTTAAAAAATTATCATAGATTAAAATAGAGTAACTTATTTTTGACAGGATATGAGAAATTTGCGGCTGGCCTATAAACAGGAAGAGCAGAACAGATTGGAGATTTTTGAAAACCTTGTAACACGTGCATTTCCTGTTTCTAATGGGCTGGTAAGTCTTAAGATGTAGAAAAGGCTGTCACTAGCCCTCCACTTTTTGGAAAGTGTAGGTGGGGAAATACAAGGGCTGTATAACAAACACTGAAATGTTGATTCGTAGAATCTGTTACAGAGAAGGCAAGCTACTCTGACCCTGTTTCCTTTTTGCATTAATTCATAAAATGTCCTGCTGTCAGTGAAGTTAATTTGTACATAACCCTTGAGATCTAGATTTGCCTAATGTTACTGATTAAAAATATGTATGTATTGACTCTTATTTTCTGTAGTAGATAATTGAGTCTAGAAGTTCTGCCTAAAACAACAAATAGGTACAATTAGTCTTATTATTAGTTAGCTGCAGAATGGTATTTCATTTGCTTGTATGGGTAAGGAAGGGGTTGGGAGGTAGGTGACAGATTTCCTCATCCTGGCTTTGCCATTGATGTGTTGTATGGTCACAGGCAAATAACTTCGACTCTCTCTGACTGTTTCCTATCTTGATTTTGTTAATTATATAGCATGTACTTGAAGGAGGAAACTGTCTTTCATTTTCTTTCTAGCACAATGTTGTCCAGTCTTGACTGAAGGTTTTATGTCTGCTGTTAAAGAGTTTTAGAGGTGTTACATTTGAAATATTAGAAAGTTCACTGTTTTGGAGTTTATTGTACATACAGCCTATCAGATAGTAATTTATGCCTTTGCTTTGTTGTCTTTAGCCTCTTTTTGCATTCAGCTATAAAGAAAAGTTTGCTGTTAATGGCTGGAAAGTATATGATCCAATGGCAGAATATAAGAGGCAGGTAAGTTATATAAGTACTTGGTGTATTATTTTTTTTCTCCATCTCCCTCAGAGCCATTCAAACAAAAAAAATATTAAAGAAAACTCAAAATTTTCAGCTCTAGCTACATGCAGAGGCTGTCTAGTATCATGTTTAGGTAATAAAATGCAAGTGGCCTGACTTTGAGAGTGTTGAGCACCTGCTAAAGTTGATGGAGACAACAGGTGCTGAGTACGTGAGCAAATTGGTCTATCTTAACATGCATTCTTAAATCCACATTTTCCAAGTGCTGTTTCTAGAAAATACAGACTTTGTGAAAATTTGGTATTGAACAAGCAACATTAAACAGAGTTTGTTGTTGTAAATCTACGGTTTCCTAGTTGCAAAAGTATTTTTATTTCACTATGTGATCACTTTTTACCTGAATGTGCAGCCTATTCAAATGGTTATTTTGCATATCAGTTTTAAAGATAATAAATAGGAAAGACTTCCAGTGTTTTGGTTTATGGTTCAATATGAAGACCTTAAGTTTATAGCTTATTTAAAAGAAAAATGTGTGCCCACATTTTTTTAAGTAAGTATATAGCATATAAAAATTTTCATCTCCCCAAACTCAGATGTGTGAAGGTCTAACCTGAAAAATAAAAAAATGTTTTGCTTTCATACAGGGTTTACCCAATGAGAGTTGGAAAATATCCAAAATTAACAGCACTTATGAGCTTTGTGATACATATCCTGCTATTCTTGTTGTGCCAACCAGTGTAAAGGATGATGACCTCTCAAAAGTGGCAGCGTTTAGAGCAAAAGGCAGAGTTCCAGTAAGTGAAACTTTTACAAGGACATATAAGTGCTCTACAGATAGACTTGATGGTTTTAGAACTGAAGAGAGCAACTCAAATGTGAGTTTAATTGTTTGGTCATTGTGCCATGTAATAAATTTTTGTTTGGAGTTAACACTTCTAAGCCACAATGGTATCTGATGCTAATTCATGTATTAGCTTGTGTTCTGATTTGGTGTGGAGTGTGTTAGAGCCGTAGCAGTTATCTTGAGAACAGACGAGTTTTGCAGGTAACATAAGAGCCCCTTTAAATATGTTAGAAGGTGACAGTTTTGTGCTTAGCAAAGTAGTGTACAGGGCCATAGATTTCCACGTGGAAGCAGTTTTTCTTCTTCCATTGTTCTTTTTGTTCCTAATTAGTAAGATGCAGTAGCAGGCTTAGTTTTTATTAGAAATAGAAGCTAAGATGTGTTAGAATCACTTTGTATTTCAGGCTCACATTTGGGACGAGCAGTGCTAGTGTGCTGTCAATACGGTTTTGCATCAGCTTGTCCTTAAATTTGCATTTGTTAATTTCATACAATCATAGAATGTCCTGAGTTGGAAGGGGCCCACAAGGATCATCGAGTCCAACTCCTGTCTCTGCACAGGACAGCCTCAAAATTCACACCATGTGTCTGAGGGCGTTGTCCAAATGCTTCTTGAATACTGTCAGGCTTGGCGCCATGACCACTTCCCTGGGGAGCCTGTTCCAGTGCTCAATCACCCTCTGTGTGAAAAACCTTTTCCTAATATCCAACCTAAACCTCCCCTGGCCCATCTTCATGCCATTCCCCTGGGTCCTATGATTGGTCGCCAGAGAGGAGACCAGTGCCTGCCCCTCTGCTTCCCCTTGTGAGGAAGCTGTAGACTGTGATGAGGTCTGCCCTCAGTCTCCTCTTCTCCAGGCTGAACAAACCAAGTGACTTCAGCCTCTCATACAGCTTCCCCTCTAAACCCTTCAGCAACTTTATGGCCCTTCTTTGGACACTCTCTAGTAGCTTTGTATCTTTTTTATATTGTGGTGCCCAAAACTGCACACAGTACTTGAGGTGAGGCCACACTAGTGCAGAGTAGAGTGGGACAATCACCCAGGAAATAATGCCATGTAGGCGGTGTGATTGTCTAATTGCACTCTGGCCTGCTGCTTTTATAGTAGTATAGTAAACTAAAATGATTTTCTTTTATTCTAGGTATTATCCTGGATTCATCCTGAGAGCCAAGCAACAATAACACGATGCAGTCAGCCATCAGTAGGCCCAAATGATAAGCGTTGCAAAGAAGACGAAAAATACTTGCAGACAATAATGGATGCCAATGCTCAGTCACACAAACTTATCATCTTTGATGCCAGACAGAATAGTGTTGCAGATACAAACAAGGTAGGTTGATATCATAACTAGCATTAGTTGCTCTGTCTTTATTACAAGACTGGAGATTAAGTAAGAGATGAGGATGAGGAGAACTTGATGTTGAAAAGAGATGAAAAAAGGTCTCTAAAGAGGGCATGGGAAGGAAGGTAAGTTGCTTGTAGCATTTTGGAAAGGCCAACAGGAATTGAAAGCAGCATGAAGACATAGGTCATTAGGCATAGGGCATTAAAGCCCACAGAAGACCAAAGGTTTCGGTAGTAAAAAGGGGAATGTATTATCAAATGTAGCCTATTACAATTAGAATTTCTTTCACCTAAAAAAAATACCCTAGTGCTTCTTAGAAAAACAAAAGCCAAAAAAAATGTTTTTGTTAGTGCTAAAATAATCGTTTCTCTCAGAAAATCCTGAAACCTGACTAAAATAACTCTCTCAACCTTATAGTGAAGTCCTGTACGTGTTCTTTTCTTTGTCTGTTTTTACTTTTTGAATGACAGGCAAAAGGTGGAGGATATGAAAGTGAAAGTGCCTACCCAAATGCAGAACTGGTCTTTCTGGAAATTCATAATATACACGTAATGAGAGAATCCCTGCGTAAACTTAAAGAAATAGTTTATCCTACTATTGATGAGACTCGGTGGTTATCAAATGTGGACTCCACACATTGGCTGGAATACATAAGGGTAAAATACTTTTGATGTGAAAAACCAATTGTTTTTTTAAACCATGTTTTTAACTTGCATTTCTGAAAATATTACTAAAATAATGTCTAGATTTAAGCACATCACTTTGATCAGGATAATCTTGTAAAAGAACTTAATTTTTAAATGGTCCCTTAGAACATAGCATTTTAAGCATTCCATAATAACTTTGTATTTCCAGTTTTATGTATTGGTAGGTAATGAGTTAATTCCTGATAGCACAGTATCGTATTTAGTGTTGGACAATGTTTTATTTTCTTGAGAGAGAATGTTTGTGAGCAGTCCAGGGTTATCCCTGTTTTTTGGAAGAATGCCCTGGGAACTTCAGATTATATTTGAACAACTGCCAAAAGGACTTGACTGTAAATTTTGCAGCCTTTCTCATCCTTCCCTCCTTCAATACAATGTTAGTGTTCTTGTGTCAGGCACCTTTATTTTCATGGGCTGTTTATAGTCAATACTGGGTTATAATCTGCTCTATTATTTAACATGATATTGAAATAAATCACTGCCATACTCAGTTTTACAGTCTGTTTCACTAACCTCTGAAATGCTTTTAGAATACATTATTTCATTGCCACGTTCCCTCCCCTGTTCATGATGAATATGGATGGAGTGGAATTTGTTTTATTAGCAACTGGCTCAAATGCCACTCATGCAAAACATGTTTGGGATTGTTCATTAGTTTTACTCTTGTGTTAAGTAGTGCTTGCTAACTGCTGCAGGAGAACCAGTAGAGGGAGCAAACACTTAAATTAAGAACTAAACAGATTTAATGATCTTTTGGGAACAGTTTAATTTTCTTGTTCTCTTGTAGTTGGACTATTTCAAACAGCTTTGGGAACCTGAGTATCTGGAAACGTTTTCTTATCAGCCTGGTCTTAAATACAATAGTCTGTTTTTAAAAGTGGAGTTATTTGGGCCGGTGGTCACCTTTCACTGATGTTGACTTCAGTGGGGTTCCTGGGCTTAGTCCCAGAAATGGACCTCAATACCATTGTTGCACAGGTGACAACAGCATAGCAATTTGAAATTTCATTGAAATTATTTTAAAGAGTTGACATACGCGTAGCATTCGTCATGAATCTGCCCCTTACGTGATACTTCATGTTACAGTATTGACAGCATAAACTGCAGCCTTATTTCTTAAAAGCTGCCATTGCTGTGTTAACAGTGTTGATAGTATCTCCCTGTGCTTTTATCCAAGAATTGCTTCCCTTCCTTGCCTATTTGATTTGGCTTGTAATAGCAATTAACAAATCCAGAGCTTTAATCTAGTGCATCTTCTGTTTTCCGGGCTCACACCGGTGTGATTGTGTCCCAGTTTAATGTGATTTGTTACTAGAAGTTCACCTTCCTAGCACTGGGCACACACAGCACTTTGAAGATGGTCCAGAAGCATCTGGGGAGGTGCCAGTAATGTTCTGTGTGCATCAGCAGGAGTAGAGTCACTTGGTGCTTTTTGCACACCCAGGATGTTTCCTGGTGCCCTCCAGGGTATTTTCTGTCTTTCAGGGTAGAACTTGTGCTATTAATTATTTTTTAACCAATTCTTATTTTCTAAACTGATACAAAGCCAGTTATTCATTAGGAGCCCTAACTGAAATACTGTGAGGGTTGCTAAGTTTTGAAACATCTATAAAGAATAATAATAGTTTGTGGAGGAAACTGTTTTCTAAAGGCTTTTGTCCAAAGTAGAATAAAATGCTTCACCTACTCCACAGATACTTACTTACTGAATAGTAACTCTGTTTTCTGTCTCCCATTCTGTGCTTATTGCCTGTATCTGTTCTATGCTTTTCTTTTCAGCTGTACTCCTTCAGAGGCATCTGTGTTCTCTTCAGGACAATTTAGAGCAAGCTATTGCATACCTGTATGTTACATAGATTAGTTTTCTGCCTTTACTGAAGACCAAACTGTTTTAATGTTTGCACTTTTTTAGTGCAGTAGAGCTTTGTAACTGAAGTAATTGGGAATTAACTAGTTCAGACCCCAAGCTCTGTTCTCCCATAGAAGTTTTTGTATTGTTTCCTGATATTTTCATCCTGGCATCCTTCAGTTTTATCATAAAAGGTACGATCAACGAAACATATAATCAATAAAAATTGTCTCTAAAGCATGGTTCTTGAAATAGCTTTGAAGACTGGTCTTGACTGGTCTTGTGCACAGCTTCTGCAGTGGATGCTGGCTTTCCTGCTTCCCAGATGTTTTTACATGCCTGGGAAGGGAAAAATACAAGTATTTTGCAAGATTCCATTTTCTGATGTTGGAATGCAGAATAGGAATTTCTCCTATGGTCCTATTCTAGTGGTTGGTTTTTTTCATGTATTTTTCAGTGCCATGATAAGTCACGGTACAGAAACAAATCTTCACAGGAGAGAGATTATTCAAGTTTTTTGAAAAAACTACAGAGCAGCATAAGAGAACAAGAGAGGGTTTTTTGTGGGGGATAAGAATAACAAGTTCACACAGGTGATCTCAGTCCTGTGCTATCTCTATCCTTTGTTCTCTAGCACGCTTCTGAATCCATGCTATTAACGGTCTGCTTATGGGTTGAACACAATGTATACTTCGCGCGCCAACAAATCAGCACAGGCTCCCAGCCAGGGGTTTCTGGGTTTGTTTACATTGCGTTTTGATTTGGATTAGATGGATGGTTTGTCCCTTTCTCTAAACTTAGTAGTTGAGAACTGAAAGCTGAGGAAGAAAGAGTGATTGATTATTATGAAAATGAACTTCAAAAACATTGAACCTTCAGCCTTTGGAATAGGTTACAGTATTTGTGTCTTTTCATCATGATACAGAATTTCAGATTTAATTTAGCGAAGGGATTCCCAGATTTTTTTGCTATGTACTACTAATAGTGGAGAGCTGGTAAGAACTCTCTCCTGAACAACAGAGTGCACAAAGTTTTTTATAGCCTTAGAAGTACTCATACCACCATTTGGAAATCTCTGATTTAAAGCAGTGTCATCCAGATGATTGTGTAATTAATGTCAACTTTTAAAATATATTAACCTTAAGAGTATAAAATTATAACTTTTTTTGGTAAAGTTTTGGTTAGCATTTAATATGCTTGTTTATTTCTGTTTATTTAAGATGCTTCTTGCTGGAGCAGTAAGAATTGCGGATAAAATTGAGTCTGGTAAAACATCTGTAGTGGTACATTGCAGTGATGGTTGGGATCGAACTGCACAGCTTACTGCGCTAGCTATGCTTATGCTGGACAGCTATTACAGAACTATCAAGGGGTTTGAAGTTCTTATCGAGAAAGAATGGATAAGTTTTGGACACCGATTTGCAATGGTAAGCTGAAACATTCAGTGTGCAGTTTGTCACCTTCAAAGCTATTATTTTGAACAGCATGTTTTCTCACAGTACTCTGCTGCATTTTAGTCGTTTTCTCTGGTGTCCTCCTTTTAATGGTGTGAGTGTGCCAGAGAATTGTGACCTGTTCATTTTTAACAAGAAATCTGTGTGTGAGGTATAATATAAAATAAATAAGAATGAAGTGGCTTGAACATCACGGTTAAAAAAAATCACGTGGCTTTTTTATGAGGAAGAGGGACTGTAACACATTGCTTCATCTTTAACAGTCTTATGAATTGAGAAACAAGGAAAAGAATTAAGGTGTCTAGAAGGTAAAACTGCTGGAACCATTACTCTGATTTAAGGTTGAAGTGTTTTTTTAACACACGGGCTAGTGGGGAATTAGGATATAAGGTATTATGACATTTTGTAGGCTCTGACTCTAACATGGTTTAGGAGAAATGACGTAGTTATGGCAGTGGATATGGAATAATTGTTGTTTCAGTACAATCTTAGTAAATACGTACCAGTTTGGCCCACTGGTAGAAAGAAATGGCTGTGCAGGGAAAGACGGGCAAACAACTGGCACAGCTTTGTTGACCAAGTGTCTTTCCAGCTCTACTCAACGGCAAAGGCATGGCCATAAATGAATATTGGGATGCATTTTTAGTAGTTGAAAAATACCGGTTAGCATTGTGGAAGATTTGCTTATCTTGTTCACCGTTGGAACATATTTAAGAGTTACTCAGCTTTGAAGTGTTGGGCTGGTACTGTAAATACACTAGACTGAAATGATAAGTTTTTTTTGACTTTCAGCGAGTAGGACATGGAGATGATGATCATGCTGATGCAGATAGATCTCCCATTTTCCTTCAGTTCATCGACTGTGTTTGGCAAATGACAAAGCAGGTAAGATGCTTAAGAGTATATTTCTATGAGATCTCAGTCTTTATCTTGGAAACACGTTCCTTTGTAGAGCAGTAGCATGTTTTCCTGAAGCTAGTCACAGTGTGGCTGCACCATGCACATGTAGGGGAACTTTTTGCTCAAAGTGAGGTACAAAGAGCTAGAGTAGAAGTATTGACTTGAAACCAAAATACCAGCAATCCTTTTTGTTTAAAATAAGCTTTCAAAGGATTCTCTGATTACATAAATGAGGGTTATTGATGAAATAAATGATTTGCATTGCATATTCACTGATGGAGTAAATGTTTGTATGGATTTATATTATCCTTAAGGAACAGCAAAAATCCAGGTTGATTGTGAACTGAGAGGAAGAGAGAGGAGTTCTATGTATGTCTAAAATGTGAAATGCAAGTTAGTGTTGGCATCGCTATGCATACAGGACAGCATTTCTAGCATACAAGCCTATTCTCAGATAAGTTTTCTTAACTTCCAGCACTGCTTTTAACTCTTAAGATATCAAAATATTAAAATTCTCAATTTTTTTTCTGAATATATTAAATTATAGAATGACTTTAGCCTTCATTTTCTTTATTTCTACCTCCACGAGCATAAACTTAAGATTTTTCTGAGCTTTTATATTACTGTTCTCTAATGGGGTTACTGAAATAGGTTGTCCGCATGAAGGTTTTATTTCCAAAGAAGTTAGAAGTGCTTGGTGCCTTTTTTTCTTTTTTTTTCTCTACCCCCTCCCCCCCACCCCTTGAAGCCTAACATAGATGTGTGCTTTTATGGTAAAAGCTATTATACTGAAGTCTGCATAGTATGTAATTTGTTTTGAAGAGAGGAGGGTAACAGTTTGGTTCCATAGGATGCTAGCACTCCCAGATCTCTTACCTTAGTCGTCTTGTTCTGAATATGGTTCTTAAAAACTTACATCATAGTTTCCAAAACGTGTATTGAAAACAGTAATCTTCAGTGCTTTATGAAAGTTCCCTGCTGTAATCTGGGCCCTTGTCCAGAGTCCCTTGAAGACTTTCTCTTTCTGTGTGTCTATATTTCAGCATTAATGTGCTATTTAGTATGACTGAAGAAAATAAATGAAAAATTCTGCCCCTCTCTCAGAGGAGAGCTAATAACAATAGCAAAGAGAAGCAGTTCTAAACACCTGGTAGGAACAAAAGTCCTCTGGGGAGATCCTTAATTGAGAGCAGCCTCTTCTATTTTTGTGATCTCCCTTGCTGCCTCCTATTTCTTGCTATAAACAGTTTAGTTCCCTCTAGTTTAAAAAAAAAAAAAAAAAGGAGGGGTGGAGGGAATCTGTGAAACATTTTACCATACCACATCTGTTCAAAACCTGGATCCAGAAACTGTTCTGAAATTCATGAACAGCAGTGGCATTGAAAAATCATTAATGTTACAGCAAGAAAAAAATTGAAAATGTCATTCCTGGAGAGTTCTTGCCTGCTTATTTTTATTTTTTAGTTGACTTCAACACCTAGAGAATAGATGTGAAGACTGTGATTACCTTGACATGGGCCTATGAAAACCAGAGTTCTATTTTATCCTTATATAGATCACTCGCTCTTAAAACAGTGCTAGTTTAATGCTTTAGAATCCATGGTAAACATATGTGAAATGTTCCAATGCTCAAATAAATGTTAATGGCTGCGGGAGGGTATAAGGGCTCGGGTTTGGGCATGGGCTCAAAGCAAGCAAATTTTCTCTTTCGGGTTCTGAGAATTACATGCTTAATACAATCGACTTAATACAGTGAGAAAATCTCTAACTTCCCACTAGGATACAATTTCCTGGATAGCTTCAGACAGTGAAACTTAATTCTTGACAGCCTTATATTTTCCCTTGTTTTTTATGATCTTCGTGACGCACAAATACAGTAATAGAGAACTTGAGAGAAGTACATTGATATCAGATTTTAATAAAAAGCATATGGTGAAGTGATTTCCCTCTTCTGTTAGTAAATTCTGGTGATTTTGAATAGCAGATGTCAGATTGGAAAGGCCATGTGTGGTCTGATGAAATACTGATGCCCTGTTAAAAATGAAACAAAACTGTAAAATTTGCATGTAGCATTGCAGCTCAAATAGTAGCTTTCTACCTTTCAGGCACAGTACCCACACAGGAGTAAGGTATGCTTAAAGTTAGTAGAAAGTTGCATCCTGTTTGTTACCGGCTGTCATCTATTGCCAGAGATGCATTTTTCACTAGTGTACTCTGTTATGATATCTAATGTTTAGTTAACCTGATTCGGTCCAATTCCACAATCATAAGAACTATTCCGCAAAGTGTTTCAACTTTAATTGTTTCTGTAATACAGAATGAGTTCATTGATTAAAAAGCAAGTTTATTTTGCATGTTTCTGAATCAGATGCCACATGGCATCATTAGACTTCTTAAACAAGAGAATTCTTCTTTTAAATACCTCCTTGACAAAAACCCCCAACAACTCCAGCAGCATCAAGTGAGAGATTTTAATGACCCATGTGTACTCTCACAATTAGTGGATTTGACAAGAAGTAAATTTTCATTTGGGGAATTTTTCCACCTGAATCTTCAAACAGACGCTAATGGGCTTGGAACTACAGAGGAAGTATTTTTAGGTCAGTGATTTTTCAGCAGTGGTAATAGAAGCCTTACAGTCTTGATACATCAGCTCCAACAGTACAGCTCTTGTATCCAAAGACAGGGTTTCAATAAAATGCTATCACTTATTAATAAATTAGTTGGAGTGCAACCACTGATGTATGGAATTTTGAATATGCTTCACTGGATTGGAATAGCAGCCATGTCGGCATTCATCTGATTAGTATGGTCCTGTCACAACACAGAACCCTAATGTGACAAGGCTCATTAAGTGCTTTCAGTTAAAGAGAGTCCCTTTAGGAGAGGCTTTGTCTTCAAAGTTATTTCCAAATATCATTTTGATCCTTTGCAAATTATTTTTGCTCTCTGTGTCTGATTGCTGCTTTGGGCTGAACACAGGAGATTGAGGTCTGAGACCCACTGAATGTTCCTCCTGACTTGGTTTGGCACACCTGCTTATCAAGTTCTGTTCATACTTTTTTAAAATCATAGCTGTGTTTTTAACATCATTGTAACGTAATTGAGTTTTGGCATGATTTCCTCGAGAGAACGAAGTTCTGTAAGTGATAGCTTTTGAACATGACTGAAAAAGAGAATTTGATAATTTTAAATTGTTATATGTTTTGTGAAGACAAATGGCTAGGAGATTGAAAACAAACCAGTCATTTGAGAGAGAAGCCCCAGTGTGAGCACGCCGTGCTGTTGAACAGTGCGTAATCTGTAGCAGAGTCAGAAGAATGAAGGCTCCCATTCATTTTGTAAGCCATGATATTGATAATTTCCTGACTCAGAATTTTCAGTTGAAAATTGGTATATCTTAGCTTGAGAAGTCTTGGAAAGAGAACATTTTTGCAATGTTTTACTTAAATCAATCTTCCTTTAAAAGAACATTGCTTAAAACTTAGATCTTTCTGGGTTTAATACAAGCACACCCATTGTGTGTTATTCAACTCTACTTTCAACATGAATAAACATTTGCCCTTCATAAATCACAGATGACACTGAAGAGGAATTTCTGCATCAGCTAGTTCATCCGCAGTCCCAGTTGCTGCATTATTCCTCCTAGCTATACTTGTCATATTTTTATTTTTTATTTAAAGTAGCTTTTCAGTCACTTATGCCAAGGTGTTCAGTGTTCTTCAGTGGCACGTAACAGAAACCAGCCCACTTCTTTCTTCAAGTCTGAAATATTGACTCGAGATTTCTCCATATAGCAGGAAATTCTTCTTTAAGATCTGTAACTTTGCATTTTAGACTTCTGTAAACATTTACTCCTTTAGTGGGAATGAACAAAATTTATTTCATTTGTCTTGAAAATTAGTCTCTTCTAACATTCTCTGTCATGGTAATGAGAGAAATACTACTTCTTAAATTTTCCTTTAGTCTTCTAATTTTTTTTTCTGCTAAATGTTTATCATTCTGTATCTGTGTTTGAGACCCTTGTCATACTGAATGCAAAGTTATTTTGACACATCAAGCAATTGCCATATCTAGTCCTATCATAAAATTTGATTGAAGAAGAGGACCTTTTCCATCTGAATAGGTAGCAGCCCATGCAGTTTGCGTTAATTTCTTCCTTTATGATTTTTAGAGCACTACAGATTAAGGTATATCTTAAACATTTTGAGTGTTTTCAAATTTCTTATTCTTTCCTAGAATGTATCGGGTAACCTCTGCTTGTGAATAAAATACCTAGTGGTGCTCAGTGGAATAACAGTTCTTTCATTTCAGATATACAGGATTTACTTTTTAATAGAAAATAAGAGGGATTAAAGGCTTATTGTACATAGCTGATGGTAAACTCAACAGGTGAAATGGAGAAAAGTAACTTACTTGGGTAGAAAGTGGAAGAAACATTTTAAATATATTAAGCACATTGTACATGCAGTAGTCTTTATTATCCAATTCATTGCATTTTAGAATAGGAAATAAAACTCTTAAATGGCATCATCATCTTTTTTTTTTTCCCCAAAAATTATTTCTTGTCCTGTAACAAGAGAAATAAAGCATATGTTGAAGACAATTTGGCGTGAGTTATAACAGAATACTGTTAGAGCTCCTTAAAATGGATTGCTTTGTGTCACCAGTTTCACATTAGCTAATGTTTCTATGTTTGTGTTCTAGTATACTTGCATAATGAATGTAAGGTTTGTCTCTGAGGAGTATTTGTAAAGACATACGTAGGTGAAATGTATTATTGCATTGGCAGTTACTGAAATTGCCGAGTTTCTCTGAAAATAATCACTAAATAAGAAAAAAAAATCTGCACAGCATCTTTCGGTTATTTCTTATGTCTGAATTTCCTCCTTTCTACACTGCTTAAGTTTAAAGTAATTTTACCGACTTTTTTATTTCAGTTTCCTGCAGCCTTTGAATTCAATGAGTTATTTTTGATCACCATTCTGGATCACCTTTACAGTTGTCTCTTTGGGACTTTCTTATGCAACTGTGAAAAAGAGAGATTAAAAGAGGTAAATAATTAGTGTAACACACCTTCTTAATTTGTTGATTTTGCATGAAAGTGCTTAGAATGCAAGATGTGAGAACATCTGAGCTGTGTTTTTGGATACATTTGTCACATAGTCTTAAAAGACAATACGGACATGAAATTTCATGGTATGAGGAATATGTACTGAATGCCCTGCTATTAAATGAGATGGCACTTAGTTTTCTTTAGTTATTATCTGTTCAGGGGTTTGCGGGCTTTAGAAAGTCCTCTTTTAGGTGTTTCTAGCCAACATATAAAATTTTAAATAATCAATATCAAATTATATTAGCTATTTCCAAAGGAACTCCTCTGGATGACTTTGCAGGTCACTTTAGGACATAATTAGATGGAACTTATGGTTGAAGACTGTGGAAATTTAAAATATCTAAATGAATGAAGTTAGGACTCAATGAAATACTTTGAATTTGGGGGAAAAAAAAAGTTTTTTAACATTCCAAGCACACTTTTGCTTACTTTTGGCTTTGTTGTTTTTAATACTTCATATTTTTTAAAGCAAGTAATGGTTCCTTGCCATATTTAGCTTTGCTGTTTTCTGGGGTTTTTCTCTACTGCTTCTGTAGGGATCTAGTGAAAAAGTTGCATGTAAATGCCACAAGATGGAGCTGAATAACATGTTCTCAGCAAATGCAGGGTTTCCAGACAGCTTGCTTTCGTAGATGAATAGTCAGACGCAATTCTCAATAAAGAAATGCCGTTTAAGACACCGCAGTGGTAGAAACACATGCTTTACAACACCGAAGGGGTGTAAAATTGCAAGTTGAATCTGATGTAAGTTCAGATTTCCAACCTTTGATCTAACCATGATTAGGCGGATTACATTTAGAATAATACAACTTTCAGAAGTGCAAATAAAGATAAAATAGACATTTTAAAGCATAATATCAATTGATAGGAGCAAACAGTGTGAGTGGGAGAACTGAATAATTATTTTTCACAGATGCTGTTTTGGATCTTCCAAACTATGTATCTCTTCACTGATTTTTCTTGTCAAAGCTAATTTATTTTTTTTTCAGTTAGTCAGTGTGTAACCATATATTTAAGTAGCTGTAAACATTGCTGTAAATTACGAGCAGTACAGCTTTCTTTTGCTCAACTAGGCCTTAGTGTCTCTGAAAATAACATGCCTGAATCTTCTTTCTCAGTTAGCCTTGGACCACAGTAACTGTTCAGATGTTTTGCTAAAGTTTTAAGGCTGGTTAATGATCAGCTACTGGAAGTGTTCTCAAAGAGCGTGCAATTTTCTAGTAGATAAGGTAAATTTCACAGACAAAATTACTGATATGTAGATGTTAACCTCATATTTTAAGGTTTTGCAATCAATATAATTAATTTTTTTTTTTTTTTTTCCAATCAGGAGGTAAGCACAAAGACTGTATCGTTGTGGTCCTATATAAACAGCCAGTTAGATGAGTTCACAAATCCTTTCTACGTGAACTATGAAAACCATGTCCTGTATCCTGTTGCCAGTCTGAACCATTTGGAACTATGGGTGAACTACTACGTCAGATGGAACCCAAGGATGCGACCTCAGGTATGAGCTTTCACATGCCTTTTATGTTTTAGTGAAGGGCACAGAGATTAAAAAAAAATTATTATTTTTCATAGTGTTGAATGCAGCATTTAATTTCAAAAGTGCTCGTCAGTCGCACGTATTTGAGCTGGTAGGGAAAAAGGTGATTTTCTTGAAGAAGTTGCGGGATGTGTGCAAGCTTGGTAAAACGATGTTTTCATTAAAGTCACCAGTAGAATACGGAGTTACGGTATCACTTTACTGACTTGTGAAAGCTAACAGATTAACAGTCTTTGTTGCCAGAAGATTACTTTTATAACACTTTGTAACACTTTTTAATACTTTTATTGCCTTCTTGTAGAGTTTAGTGTACCTTTGTTTTTAATGGTGTTTTGCCCTTTACCAACAATGATACAAAATATAGCAGCAGTTTCTGAAAGAATTGGAGTATGTACCAACTCATTTTGTAGGCTCTCTAAACTTAGCATCACATAGATGCTTGTTTTCAATTGACCTTTACAGTTTGAAGCTGGCATGCTAAAGATTAAACACTTCCTATACATGCTCCTTGATTGATCCAGTATTTGTTCTTATAAGTAATGTCTGCTATTCAGGTAAATCTCTAAATTTCATCAGACAGATACTCCATGTGCTCTCATGCTTAGAAGTCTGAAGAAAGAACATTTACTTTGTGTCACAACCATAATATATCTGAGGGTGCTACTTTATTAAGGTAACATTCCAAGGTACCCCCAAGCATATTATGATAAATTACCTGTATTAAGTGACTGCTCGAAAGCTGCTTTCATCTTCTAGCAGTTAGAATGAGATGTGAGTTTCAAATTTATCAGACACCCACAAGTCAGAGGCTGTCATAAGAGATGGTGTTCCAAGGTAATTTCCAAGGACAGTACACTGGTAGAAATCCAGGCATCTGAGAAATACCTTTTAAGGTCCTGGAAAAATCTGGATTGCTTGCTTTCTCACGCAATGTTTCCTCTGAGCTGCTTTGTTTCCCTTACTTATTCTGTTTTGGTTGATGTAGTCCTGTGACTGTTAGGTACCTGTTAGGTGTTAGCATGTGTTAAAACTTGAAAGATGGTGTATTTTAATATTTATGGTTTTAAAGGAAAATTGTCAACTGCTTTTTAGCAAAATATCATCTTTCCCTTAGCCTAATGCTGAAAAACATTTACGTGGTTGATGCACATTTTAGTATAATTGAACTGCAGCAGTGTCAATTTATTACTTGTATTTAATTGAGATCTCTAGGCCCTGAAAGCGAGCAGTCTTTGTAAACACACATGAAAGCTAGTCACGGTGCAAAAGAGATGAGGATGAGGAAGAGATGACATAATGAGAAAGTATCAGAACTATCATATATTTCGTGGCAAGCGCTGCCCACTGCCTCTCTGTTGGAGAGCACTCTGCAGGCACTCTGGCATGTGTGAATCATTGACCTTCATTGGTCTTTGAGAACAGGTCCCTCAAATCAGCAGGCTGAAGGTAACAAAATTTTATAATCCTGGTAACTGCCTTAACTTTACTACCGCCTTCTTTTTTTGAAGAACTAGTAAAACTGTTTCAACTTTTTGGTTCTACCACATTATCTTTGTCTTGTGAAGATACATTGTGTCTTGTCTCTGGCCTGAATTTACATGATATTTGTGACAAATATTTGGAAGTGTTTCACATCTACTTGGATAAATTTGCTGCAGAATTTACAACTTTCTGTTGCAAAATTGCATTCTCCAGTCTAATTATGAAAGCATAAACTCATGCAAACAAGTAAATAAACGATCTTTGTAATAGCAATATACTGTTTGCTTTCTTCGATATTTGCATTGTCTGGTTTCACACCCTGTTAGCCAATTCAGTAACATTCAGACCCATTCAGTGACAGAAAAAAAGACAGTGACTGTTATGACGCCCAGCAGGTCTTCAGGGAAAAAATTTCTTTATCAGTGGATTTATTAAAAGAATGGGCATCTCTGCCTATTGATAAAAAAGTGTTTTTGTTGAATACCTTTTAATCTGGTTCTTTTGGTTTTCAACTGGAATAAGAGAAAATGAAATACTTAACATGAATGAAGAGCTCTCTAATGAATAGCAGTTCAAGGCAACCTCACATGCTGTTTTATTGGCTGCAAAAACATCTTCAGGAAACTGGAAAATGTTTATTGTTTTCTAGGAGCTCACCAAAAAGGAGAAATTCCTAATAGGTGAATTTAACAGAAGGTGACTAACAGTCCTTTAATATAATCAGAATGGATGTTTGATGCCCATTTTCAAACCAACTTTATATTGTGGGAGGGGAAACTCAGAAGGGCAGGTTTTGATTTGAGGCAATATTGTCAGTTTTCTAATTTCAACTTGGTTAGTGAGTGAGGCTTGAATTTTTAAATGGACTTGAGAGAAGTTAATCATTGCACTTCATTGACTTTTCTATTGGAAATGAGCATACATCACCTTTAATTTTTTTTAATTTGAAAATTACTGGATGCTAACTGGATATAACCATGTATTTTTGCATTGTTGTACTCTCTCTTTGAATATCTCAGACCTTTAACAGCATGGTAAGGTTTGAACATATTCTTCATTGCACTAGGACATAGAGAGTTTAGTGTTATTCTTACGGTCTGTAAAGCAAAAATTACTAATGATACATGTTCAGTTCTATCTAAGTTTTGTGGAAGGCTAAATTGGTGGTTTTGATGGTGTTTATTTGCATTAAGAGCATGGCTGAAAGCTCAAGTGTGTGAGAAGTGAACACCATGGAAAATTCTAGGTTAAATGTGGACATTTCTTGTAGATTCCCTTTTTGCTAAACTGTGCTTCAACAAGGTCATTCTAATTCTTAAGTGAAATAAAATGTTCCTTGGTTTCAGTTTGGAGGTGTTACATCATTATTGACTCCTTGTCCCAAGAAAATTAGATAGATTTATTCCTATCTTATTTGAGTTCATTGACTGAGAAGATATTTTTTTTTCAGATTTGCACTTTTCCTTGGGTTGGAGAAATGTGTATTTGTATGTGACATGTGGAAGATAAACTCTTTGATTCTCTCATACAGAGGTGTGTGCTCTGTTGGTACCTGCTACTGGACTTACAGATGACCCTACTAGTTCCGATAGATAAGATAGCATGATGCTTTTGAAGTTTTTCAATTGATATCATATATTTCTCTTTCCTTTTCTATGTAGTCATTCAGACCTCTTCTTTATACTGGTTTGAGGAGTTCTGGCTGCCAGATGTCAGCTAGTTATCTGCTAGGGCAACTCTGGAAGGTGGGGAGAACACAACAAATGATGTTCCTGAAGCTGACTTCTGCAGAGGCAGTGCTCGTGAACTAATATACTCTTATCATTCATATATGCAGAGCATAAGTAAAAGTTCTGGTCCTTTCAATTCAATCTGTGTCTTGCTATGTGAGAGGGAATGAAAATAATCTATTTTAGTCACAAAATTTGCATAGTCCATTAGGATGTGTTTAGTTGGTTTTTATGCCTTCTGGGAAATGACATTTTAACCCTTGGAGTACAGGGCTTAAACGTGTTTTAATTGTTTGGGGGGTTTTAATTTTATTTTTCTATGCCTGCTAGTTTTTTCTTCAAGTTCTGTTCTGGAAATTTGGCCAGTGTTCTAGAGATAATATCATAGGAATCCCTATACATTTTTCAAATCCATTCTTTTCTTTGTGTGTGTGGACTTTCATCCAGAATATAAGGCTAGCACCATCTATAACCTAGAAGTTCAATTCAGCTTCTGGAGCGGGATCATCTGCTAGAGGCAGTCTTCAGAGCTTCTGTGAAAAGCCAGGGGAAGTCTGTTTGTAGGTTAACAACTGGCTTATAAAAAGGAAAGGAAAAGGTAGGAATAAATAACTGTTCATTCAGTATATATAGAAATTACTGGAAAGCATATAAATAGGTTATAATGATTGCTGCTTTTTTTTATGCTATGTATAGAATTGCAGAAGGATTTGATGTGTTGAACAGTTGAGTGATTAGATGTCAGCTGAACTTCGGTGTCAATAAACACAAAATATTGCATATTTAAAAGAACAAGTAAGATGCTAAATGTCACTGGAAAAATTGTTGAGAATAAACTGGAAAACATAATTACTGAGATGCTTTGTCCTGCACATAACAGGATATGACTTACTGTCTGGCACAAGGTGTTCATATTAGTTATACCTGCCTTCAGTCACGTTGTCCAGCATTTTCCTCTCTGAGCATGTTGGCATTGGTTGTAGTTGTATTTTCAAAGTTCATACATTTGATTTAACACCATTTTGTGGCAGGACAAAGCCATCATGTGGCTCTGGAAATGCTTGACATTGGTGGTCCACAATCCATGGTCTTGAGTCCATCCATCTTTTTGCATGAAAGAATGAGGCAGGAGATGTCAGGAGAGGGAATTGCCTTCTGGATTAGATAGCTGAGTGTTACCTTAGCTAAGGAGATTTCATCCCTGCATTCAGAACAGAGTTTCTTGTGAGACAAGGCAAGTGTCTTACGGTACCTGATAGTTTCTCTCTGTTTGCGTGTCCAAGTCAAGATTTCCAGAGTCAGATTTACTGCAGGTAACTTACATCTGCAGATAAAACTCTCAAAAATTGATGCTTATCCTGTGCACTGAAAGAATCTGTAGTTATTTAAGAATTTAAGTTATTATCAGAACATGCACAGAAAGTGAGAAACTAGTGCTGTACACATAATCTTTATTTTGGGGAGTTTCTAACATTTTGAAGAGCAAGCACTCAAAGCATTGCTGTAATCTATCAGATGTCTAAATGTAAATGGGCTGTAGGTTTTAACAAGCTGTGGCATCAGCTTGTAGTGTGTAGAGTTTCCTGAGTCTGGAAATCTATGCAGTTGTTTGCAAAAATCTCTGTTCCGGTTCCCACATGGTAGGATTCATAATTTCTGTTTGCTAGTCATTGCTTTTCTGGAAGACCAGGGAGTTTTGCTTGGTTTCCCAGGAGCATACCTCTACAATAAGTGTGGAAGTATTGATTA